CAGGTTCGGCTCCGATGCTGGCCAATTTTTAGCCAGGGTTAGTCGGTCATTATCATACCACAAGGGGTGGTGTTTGGGTTCGGGGTTGGTTTGGGCCCCAAACCCTTTTTTTTTTTTTTTTTTTTTTTTTTTTTTTTTTAACAGGTCATGGATACGTGGAATTTTGTTTAGGTAAACGTCACACGAATTACGAGAACGCGCGCCCGCAACGTTTTCGACATTCGTTTTGATCAAATAAATTCATTAATATTCTTCTCGCGTTGTTTTTTTTTCTTCTTCTTTCGATTTGTCGGAGAGAGAAAGGGTGCCTGGCTTAGGGGGTGGAGGGGAGGGGGAGAGAGTTTCTTTATGTTTTTGCTTTTTTTTTTTTTTTTTTTTTTTTTTCTATTATATTAACGTGATGACGAATTCGATTTTTTTTCTTTCGATGCAGAAAAACAAATATACACCGCGGAAAATATGTTAGTGCTAATCTTTTTTTTTGTTGTTGTTTTTTTTTTCCTCACTTACACGCACCTCTTTTATCATCAATGAAACGTTCTCTTCTATTTCTTTTTCTTTTTTGGATTTGAATTTCTTTTTTTTTCTCTCGTTGTGTCTCTTATTGATAATCTACGTATATTTCTTTTTTTTTAAACATTAATAATTGGCAACACACACGCTAGATCGAAGGTGCGGCGGATATATTGGCTTATTAAGCGAAGGAGAAGAAAAAAAGAAAAAAAAAAGAAAAAAAAAAGGAAACAAAAAGATAAAAAATTATTAAACTAGACGGACGAAGATAAACGTAAAGTAGTATTATAATATATTATACGTAGAGAAAGAGAGAGAGAGAGAAAGAGAAAAAGAGAGAGGAGAGAGAGAGAGAAAAACTGTATCAGAAATGAAAGAGATGTGCGTGTGGCGTGCTTTTTAAACGGCAAATTAAAATGAGAAAAAAATATATAATTTCATTTGAAAATAATAAATATATATTCATTTGTGAATTATAATTAATGATCCTCGATCGGTTAAAATTTTTTCTCGTTTAAACAAAATATATATATACACGAATATATAATTGATATAATAGAAATTAAATAATAAAAATTAATAGAAAAAAAAAAAGAAAGAAAAGGAAAAAAAAAATTATACGCGAGAACGAAATTCGATAAATTGAGCGGGTCTGCCGTGAAAAAGCTGTTGATTTTTCGTTTCTAGTAATCGTCATCATCATCATCATCATTATCAATCATCATCATCAACAATAACAACAACAAGGTGGTCTCACATGGGCGGGGGGAAAAGACAAAGAAAAAAAAAAAAAAAAGGAAAAAAAAAAGAGAGAGAGAGAGAAAAAAAAAACTAGAAACTGGCGCGACTTATGTGGCCGATCGCAACAACAAAAAAAAAGAAATAATGAAATCCATGCTTTAGTAGGCATTCTACTTGCACACAGAGACTAAAATTCCTCACGTGGTTGCTCACATCAAAACTATTGATTTCCACGTTAATGATATATACCTGTCTTTCTCAATGGAAAATCATCGCCAAATTTCTCCTGCAACATCTGTGGCATGCGATAGGGATGGGATGAATTTGTGTTGCTCGTTGTTTCCGATTTGGGTTGCAACCTGAAAGAAAAGGAAAAGAAAAGAAAGAAATGAAATGAACAATACGCGATAGTTTGTGATTTTAATATTCAATAGAATAGCAATAAAGTATTTTATTATTCTATTACCATGTTGGTGAATACAATTTTTTCTATACAAAACAAAAATAAAATTCATTTTTACTTGATCTATCTTTGTAATACGAAATGGAACAGCAAATCAAGTACTATCATTCCATACCTGTTGGTTAATACCATATTTTCTATACAAGAAAACAAATAAAATTCATTTTCAACTGATCTATCTTTGTAAAATAAAGTAGGATAGAAAATCAAATACTATCAATCCATACATGTTGGTTGATATCATATTTTCTATACAAGAAAACAAATAAAATTAATTTTTACTTGATCTATCTTTGTGATATTGTATAACTTCTAATATATATAATTTATTAAATTAAAACCTATATATATATATATAAAGAATCTTTTATATAAATAATAATATTAATAATAGTGTGTGTATCTCAGAAGAAAGAAGGGGACAAAGCAAATCAAGTACTATCATTCCATACCTGTTGGTTGATATCATATTTACTATACAAGAAAACAAATAAAATTCATTTTCAACTGATCTATCTTTGTGATACTGTATAACTTCTAAAATATATAATTTATTAAATTAAAACCTATATATATTATACACAGAATCTTTTATATAAATAATAATATTAATAATAATGTGTGTATCTCAGAAGAAAGAAGGGGACAAAGCAAATCAAGTACTATCATTCCATACCTGTTGGTTAATATCATATTTACTATACAAGAAAACAAATAAAATTCATTTTTAACTGATCTATCTTTGTGATACTGTATAACTTCTAATATATATAATTTATTAAATTAAAACCTATATATATAAAGAATCTTTTATATAAATAATAATATTAATAATAGTATATATCTCACAAGAAAGAAGGGTACAAATAAAACATAAATTATAATAATATGTTTTAGTTAGTACAAATATACAAATGTTATTCGTCTCGTCGAGGACGAGGAAATATTTTCGAGAGCTCGTTGCCCGTAGAGCTAAATGGATAACTGGGCCAGGTTGTGCTATTACCGTTACTCTGTCGACGACGACCAAGACGACCAAGACGACAACCAAGACGAACAGGAAGAACAAGAAGAAACGAGAGGATGATGAAGAGGAACAAGAAAAGAAGAAGAAGAAGGAGGAGGAGGTGGTGGTGGAGGACAACCTACGAAGACGAAAACGAAAACGGTAACAGCAATTTGACCTGACAACAACCCATTATAAAACTAAAACGACTTAGCGAATCTTAAATTCGACTCGGTCGGTAATAAAGTAAAAACTAACTAAATAACTAAATAACTAAATAACAAACTAGAATATAGGAGAGTGAGAGAGAGAGATAGAAAGATAGAGAATGAAACATCCATCAGATTTTTGTTGGACCATTGCCGGGAGGGGGGTAGGCAGGAGAGGAAGGCGTGAGGGGTGGTAGTGGATCAATTCTCGTGCCAATCGTATAATGAACTTGAGAGTTGCACGTGTCTCCAATCGTTTTGTTACTTTCTTTTCTATATATATATATATATATTATACTTAAGCTAAATTGTAAAACGTGTTAACGTATCACGTTGGCTATATTCCTACGATATGATAATAATATTAATAATAATAATAATAATACTCTCTTATGTAATAAGATAAACTTTGTCTAAACAGAATAAATAGATGTCCGTGAAATGAATCTTTTTTTACTTATATTTCTTATTTCCTACGATATAAATAACACGCATCCGAAAAAGTTCGTGTGCCAATTTATAAATGCATTATATGAATTCGATGTATGTTATAAATACATGTTAGAAATGTAAAAGTGTTATCTTTATTAAACTTTATTTTAAAATTTAATATGTATATATGTATATTTCTATATAAAAAGTAAATAAAAATTATGCTTACCAGCTTCTATATCCAGCTGTACCAGGAACTGCACCGTTCGCTGCTGCTGCGGCTTCCCTTTGCTTTTTGTTTACCAGGAAACTCTGTGTGTGTGTGTGTATCACACGATACAACACGATATTATTATATTATATTATATTATAATATTAACGCGAGAAGATTTATATAAAAGTCAATAATAATTATACATACAAAAGAATATTTCCAACACATTTTACGATAACGTATGATAATAAATATTAAAAAATAAAAAAAAGAAATAAATTGATATACCTGAAGACGTTGTTTGACTTCCGTCGATGCAATTGCACTATGATCATGTTTGTCCTTCTTCATGAGTGCCTCTAATCGTTCCTTTTCCCTCATTTGCTCCTCCAATTGTTTCTGCTTTTCCCAAAGCTACGATTAAAGCGTTAAACCTCTCTCATAAAACGCTACTTAAAAGTATACAACACAGTATTAAACCAATTACAAAAATTCCTTTTCTAATAATTCAACCACCCACAAACTTCGATGATTTATTTATCTAAAAAAAAAAAAAAAAGAAAAAATAATACAAAATAAAAGGGAACGATTAAAAGAATAAGAAAATGTAAATGTAAATGAATAATAAAATTAAGACGAAAATAAATGTTTGACAAGTTTGTAATCGAAAATTAAATATAATAAAATATCCACGTGTTTTTTTATTTTTTTAAAAGAAATAATATACAACGCAACGACACGCTTGTTTGTATCTATATCTATAAGTAATAATATTATATTATTATACGGGCGGATAATTTTGAAAAAAAAAGGAACCACCTGTTTCCACCTGTACGCTCTAAAACACCTGCTAGCTAGCACCTGTTAACTGCGTGCGCGGGCGCGTTGCGTTCCCTCACGGCAGGTGAGAACAACAACACGGGGAGAACAGCACGTGGTGGTGGTGATGGTGGTGGTGTTGGTGGTTTATGCGCATTCGATGCCGAAAATAGCATGGGAAAGAGAAAGAGAAAGAGAAAGAGAACAAGAGAGTGTGTGTGTGTATGAGAAAGAGAGAGAGAGAGAGACACCGTTATAAAGTAAAACGTCGTCTTGGTGGTGTCATGCTCGTTACGAGAACTCTAAGAATAAAAAGGCTTGCAATTACGTCAAGACACGTCGTCGTAGTTGTTACTGCTGCTCCTACTGCTGCTGCTGTTACTGCTTCTTACTACTACTCGACTGTATAATTCTCTTCTGCTTTCAAATTAACGCCCACGTTATTTAAACATACGTATTACATGGGATAGATAAAGATATATATATACATATATACACGCATGTGTAAAATGATATCACGATGATAATATTAGATTTTTATCTCTCATTCTCTCTCTCTCTCTTTCTGTTTTTGTAATCTTCTGTATATTGCACACACTTTTTTTTAACTAGTCAAATTTAATTTCCTATTTTCATTGGATAATTAATTATACGACACCACCAACCCCCTGCCACCATTTTTATTTGAATATTTTGAATGATTATTATTTTATTTCTTATTATTATCATCATTATCTTCTATATGCATGAATAAAATGATATCACGATGATAATATTTGATCTTTATCTCTCATACTCCTCTTTCTGTTTTTGCAATCTCCTATATTGCACTTTTGTTTAACTAGTCAAATTCATTGGTTAATTAATAATACGACATACACCTAATTTTTATTTGAATATTCTAATATGGTTATTATTATTTTATTTTTGATTATTATTATCATTATCATCTTAATATCTTCATCGAAGTTGCTGTTGTTCTCTCTCTCTTTCTTTCTCTTTCTTTCTTCCCTCCTCTATGACTTCTTCACTATAAAATGCTTGACATAACGACATAAAACAATGAAAGGAATATTCCATACGGACTTTCAACTCTTCGCGGAGAATGAATTCATCTTCATCATCTTCTTCTTCTTCTTCTTCTTCATCTTCTTCTTCTTCTTCTTTGTATGAATGAATTGACTTACTAACATTTTCGTGTAACGCGTGTGAATTTATTCTGACACAATTTTATATTATTATTATTATTATTAATAATATTCGCGTGATTCCTCTTTTTTTATTATTATTTATTTTTTCAATTGCGAACTAATAAAATACTCTCCCCCCTCCCCATTCCCCGAATTATTAAACGCGCGCGGTTTTCTTTTCTTTTTTTTTTTTTTAAATTAAATCCTCACACAATTCGTTTAACAAAATATTATTTGTCGTCGAATAGGATTTTTTTTATAACGCGCGAACACATTAGGTTTTCAAAGTTTTATCGTAAAAATGTATTTAAAACGTTTTCGTAAATATTTAACGGATTTCGATATATATGACAGATAATTATGCACGTAACGTGCATGATGTGTTTCCTTATCGTTGCTGGAAGAGAGAGGAGGGGAGAGAGAGAGAGAGAAAAAATAAATAACGAAAAAAAAGAAAAAAAAGAAGAAGAAGAAAAAAAAAGATAGTTCTAAAAATAATATTATTATACGTTCCGTTATCAATTTTTTTTCTTCTTCTTCTCTTTTTTTTTTTTTAACAACGAAGAGACGTAAGCAATGATAACACACAACACACCGAGGAACGTTGACTAGATGCAAAGATGATGCGCTCTATTACAGATATTATCTTTCAGAAGAAAAAAAAAACCAAATCTATCTATACTATGATACATCGTTTTGCATAGACACACACTTAAGCGATACATGTATATCGGGAAAATTGTGTACTAAAAAAAAAGAGAGAGAGAAGAGAGAAAAAAATAAGCTTTTATAAATAACAAGTTTCGAAATAGAAATTATCCAGATTGATTGAAACCTTTATTATCGTACTATCTTTCCTTCTACCCTTTTCAAGATACTAATATCACAAAACAAGCGTATTATGATGATAATAATAATAATAATAATACTATATTTAAATTAAATGTGGTATGTGTGTGTCGTATAAAAAGTCATCAATTATTTTTTCAACTATATATATATTAATATTTTAATATTAAATATTATGCGAGTACTTTATTTATAATTCGATCAATTAAAATGATTATTATCATTGATACATTTCAAAAAACTATAATAATTTCCTTGCAATTATATTTATTTTATTATATCACAAATTAAGAGATAAAAGATATATTATTTTTTTGTTGTATATATAGAGATAATCTTAAAGAAATTATTAAGGGGTTACATGGGTTTGGGACTTTCAAAAAAATTTTTTTTTTTTCAATTCTATAACTCATCTAGAATATTGTATTTAATTTTGAAGTCGAAAGGAGTAGTAGTTTTAAAGATAGAGCCCTGGGAAGTTGCACTCTTTAATGGCTCTTATACCCAGCACTCAAATCTTTAAACGCGTTTTTCTCAAAACGCTTTTTCTAAAGTCGGTTGTCAAGATTTCTCGAAAACTATTTAACCGATTTTCATGAAATTTGCTACACGTCTTCGTGATACTATTGACAAGGACTTGGACGAAGGATTTTCGTTTTTTTCAACAGAAAAACCCCCACCGTTTATAAGTTCTGCTATCAACGCGAAAACACTTTTTTTCGGTGGGGTCACCGGAAATGACGTCGCAATGGCGAAGTTTAAAATATTTTTCAACCAAAAATTCAGAAAATCTTCTTTAAATATGTATCTTAAATACTATAAAAAGTTTGAATAAGAATTCCATTTTTTATATAGAAAAAAAAATTGTTGAAAATATGCTATTTTTTCCCGGTGTAAACCCATGTAACCCCTTAAATGAAGGATAAAAATATAGGGGAAGAAGGTTAGAAGAAAAGAAATAATAAAAAAGAAAAAGACAAAAAAAAAATTTGGACAAACTTTGAGTCGTACCTTGAGCTGATGCATTTGCTGTTCGTGCATTTCAGCTAAGTGCCGTTCCTGAGCTTGGTACTGCTGCCGCAGGATCTGTTGTTGCAGGTGATGCTGCTGCTGTAGCTGGAACCAAACCCAGACATCTCAAGGGTAATGCACCAAATTTGAATCTTTCGAAATAATACATACGTGACTAGAAAGAAAAGAAATAAAGAAAGAAAGAGAGAGAGAGAGAGAGGAAAGCTTGGGGGGGAGGGAGGGGCGGGGAGGAGGAGGAAAAGAAAAGAAATGTTTTATTTTCTTTTTTGTTCATTTTCCATGCAATAATCAGAATTACACGACGAGTCATGGTTAAGACGAGAAGATGGATGGATGGATGGATGGCATTTGGCCCAGAAGGAAATGCGTGGGTCGATGACAGACGACAAACGGGCAGCAAAGAGAAAGAGAGAGAAAGAGTATAGCAAAAGCGTGTTATAGTTCCTTCTCTCTTGCCAATTGGTTACGTCCGCGAATGAACGAGCCACGTAGTAGTAAAATTCGACGCAATGCGTATCTATCTCTTCTTCTTCTTCCTCCTCCTCCTCACGTCTCGTCTGGTCTCTTTGTTATAACAACGATGAAAATTTATAACACTAAATTACGAGGTTGTTATCAATTTCTATCCAATTTCACACATTTCCGTAATCTAAAAATATTTTTTATATATTCCCCGTAAAAATATAATCTATTTAAGAAGAGCTAAATCCATCATCATCATCATCATCGTCATCATCATTTTTTTTATTATAGGGAAGAAATTTATTTGATCAAACTCGAACGCGATTTAAACCCATCACTATAAAAAAAAAAAAAAAAAAAAAAAAAAAAAAAAAAAAAAATAAATAAATATTGTGTATGTACTATCAAAATTACTCCCCCTCCCTCGACCACTCTTTCATTTTCTTAACAAAAAATAATTGAACAACGTGTTTCTCGATTTGATAGAAAAAAAAAAAAAAAACAATTCGATATTTATTCGTTCATCTCGAATTATCTCGAAGATGATTGCTGTTTAATTGTAAATAATATGAAATTGGACCAACCAACAAATTGATCATCTGATTAAGCAAATGTAGAAATCAAATAAAAGGGATGAATTTAACTGAACAAACTAAAGCGAGAACACTCGCATTGATTATTCCTCGTAACGAGATATCATCGTCATCATCTTCCGGATGGAAAGGATATGCAGTGAAGGCGACCATTTTGGTAGTTGGTTTTGGTACCTATATTCTTCTTTACAACAAAAGAAAACCACTATTTCATAGCTCGAAATGGCTGTTACGTTTTTTAACGAGGAAGAATAAATCTAACGAAGAAAATGACATCGTGTTAAACGAAGGAAAAGATACAACAAGGTGGTTTTATATGATATACCTTACCCCACCCCACCCCATATACGAAAATATTGTTGTTCAATTCGTAAAGAGCAAGCTTACTTTTTTCATTCGATTAAATGAATTCCATTAAACGAATTAAAATGATTCATTTCAATCTATTTATTATCCATAAATTTTTGTTTAACAAAACAATGCTCTCCTCTTTCTTTAATTCGAATATAAAATAAATAACGATGATTATTTTCGGTTTTGTCCCTAAATATTCTACATTTAACTATTTTTATTATATAAAAACAATATTGTTTTGATATTTTTTTTTTTCCTGAATTATATTATCACTCAAATGTTTCTGTGAGAAACCTGTAATATATAAAGATACAAAGATTTTCTTTATCCGATTTATTAAAGCGAGTTCACCGAACTGCAGCAACAACAACAACAACAACAACAACAACAACAACAACAACCATCGACGACGATATTATCGTACAATCGTGAAATTTGTCCAATATGTTTGGGAACACCTAAAATCGGTGTGAGAGCACCCTGCGGCCATTTGCTTTGCGCCGATTGTTTAGCGAGTTATTGCGACGTTAGGGTAGTAACACTGGCGCCACCACCCTGTCCCCTTTGCCGTGCACCCCTTGATTCCGTGGCCTTGGCCTGCGACTTTGTTAGTATATGTGTATAACAGAAATAACCGCGACTCGCTCCGCTTACCACAAAACTTTGACGAACATGCAAGCTTCCTTTTTCTTTTTCTTCTTCTTCTTCTTCTTCCTCTTCTTCTTCTACATTCGACAATGATTGCTTTCTCTATCTATCTGTCTCATTTTCTATCTGTGTGTGTGTGTGTACATATGTATGTTTCACTTTGTAATACTACAATCAAAAAGTTTGTCCGATTTGGAGAAGGAGAGATCAGAAAATTGAACTTTTCATTGACCTTGACCTTGTCCTTCGTCATCTTTATATAGTATATTCTATAAAAAAAACAAATAATCTTTTTTTCTTCCTTTTTTTTCTTTTCTTAAGACCATCATCAGTTCGGACATAACTGACGTCAAGATAAATTCTGATATTAAATCTTGGATACGGGAGTACAATCTTCATCGTGGTCTGATCGGTCCGGGAAGATCACGAAATACAATATTGGCATGCAAGCGTGCACTTATCGTGATAAATAGTTGCGCTATACTTTTATTAATTATCTTGATCATCGCTAGATTACAGGTAAATGTTAAATACTTGTTTTTTTTTTTTCTGTTTACTCTTACTTTATATGTATTAATATCAACAATATTTTTATATTCAGTATTTTTTCTCGTCTAAAATTATAATTTTTTGATGATATAGGTTCATAGGGAACTTGGACATGAAAAGAAGTAGAACTTAATTTAATTAAGTTGGATGTTTTGTTCCTTTATTTAATAATAACGATCAAACTAACGAAGTTTAGATGTATTGTGTTTGGAATATTATAAAGAGAAATGTATGTCTGCTTAAATAAAAAAGATGCTGAGCTTTAATGATTAAGTTGCTGAATAAGTCCCAATAAAGGGACGAAACGTCCAACTCGATTAAATTAAGTTCTACTTCTTTTCATGTCCAAGTTCCCTATGAACCGATATCATGAAAAATATTTGTATATTTTAGATACTTTCTTGGACCGATTGGACGAGTTTTGGATCGACGTTCGACGTTGCATTGAGTGTTGCATTGATCACGTGCATGTGGTTCAAATGTCAAGATTAAAATATTCCACGAGTTATGAGAAATTTAATATGAATAATAACGAGAAAGAAAGAGGAAGAAAATCTCGGCAATTTTTATCATTTATTTATTTATTTATTTATTTATTTACCGATACAAATAATTGTGAACAAATCAGTAGAGTAAAAGTAATAAAAAGAAAATAATTTGAACCAATTAAACGTTTCCGTAAGAATGAACGTTGCTTGTTAGGGAAGAAACAAAACAGAATAAGAAATATTAACAATTGTCATACTAAACCATAAACAAATTGTAATTTCCGTACAGTTTCCCGCCCTGTTTTTATACCATAGGTATGAATGCATATGCATGCATGCATGCATGCACGCACGCACGCGCAAGGATGCACACAAGCAATACTCGCAAAACCAACTCTACTCCACCCCCACTTACGACCTTGAACTAATTCGATGAAATATCGATCGACGAATTGCATCGGACAAAAGACGATTGAAACAACATACGGGGGAGGAAAGAGGGTTGAAAAGAATTCGAAGTAGCCAGGTGGGGGACAAAGAAGGGTTGGTTAGAAATATAAAAGAAGAAAAAGAAGATAGGAACACCAAAAAAATTACACAAAAACGATAAAAAAAGGGGGAGAATGAAAAAGATAATTAAAAAAAGAAAAAAAAATGAAGGTCACACACGTTACACGCAGAAGGATGGCATACGTTACCTCGAGTATTTTCTGTTGCAAAGCGTGACCATGCAGGGTAGTTGGGTCGGTGGTGGTAGCAACTGCAGCATGATAGGCGCCGGAAGTCAAGGTGGCCGTTGCAGCTCCTCCACCCCCGCCTCCACCACCACCTCCACCCCCTCCGACACCACCGCCGCCTCCTCCACCTCCTCCACCACCCCCTCCTCCTCCTCCTCCTCCTCCTCCGCTACCCAAATCCCGGGAGCGTGACATAGGTGAGCCCGGGGTGTCCCTGGCCATCTCTACGTAGTACATGTAACAGCATACGTCTGGTAAAAATTGTGACGATGATTCTCGAACAGCAACTGCCTCTAGGGGGTAACGAGCCAATGGCCGTGCTGGTTGCTCCACGTGGAGCCTCATCTTTTTATTTATTTATTTATTTATTTTCACACTGTTTTTATTTCTGTATATATATATATGTGTATATCACAATATATTCGAATATGATTGAAAAATAATTTCATCACATATTCCTCCTCCTTTGCAACGTTGTCGTTGACGATGAAACGAATAAACCCCACCCCACTCGTGTTCCCGCACTCTTTTAAAAATGTTTATTATTATTAATATATGTATATCACAAATTATACGGTGAATTGACACTACGCGTTCCTTTTAGGGGATAGCAAAATTGAAAAGATCACTTTAGAGAAAATGTAAATGAATAATATAATTGTTTAAGTAAATTATATTAAAATAACACAAAGTAGAAGGGAAAAATAAATAATCCCAATAGCACAAAGAACGTTAGTTTTTATTTGTCTTTCTTCAGTGATATGACGACGAAAACTAAAACGAAGACGACATGACAAGACACCACGGTCAGCGCTAAATTTAGAGTGTCTCACTATTTGGTATAGAAGTGAGAAACCAAGATATTATAACTACGTATTAATGTTTTTGATAGGCGAATAATAAAAAAGGAACACAAAAAAAAAAGAAAAAAAAAAAAAAAAAAAAAAAAAAAAAAAAAGAAAGTATAGAAGATAACGAAAGAATTAACGAAAATATTACTCTAGGTCACTATTCGCAAGACGAATCGCGACTGAACGATTCCCGAGAGAGAGAAAAACTTTATATACTACTCTCTCTCTCTCTTTCTATCGATTATAATAATATAATACTAATTTATAATACTAAATATACTACTTTGAACGAATCGTTCACGGAAACAACGCGACGATACAACTGCCGAACCCGAGGAGAGTCTTCTAACTAAAGCAACGAGAGGAAAGGGGTGGGATATTTGAAGAGCGTGGGGCGCAGACAAAACTGGGAGGGGTTGGTCAGATGGTTCTCTCTCTCTTTCTTTGATCAACCAATCGGAGCTTCTCGCACGCGCCTCAAGCTACTACTTCACAAACAAGTTTTCGCCGAAGCAAGCGCGAATTCGCGAGAGGTATCACAACGAGATATTTATAGCATCGATATTGCTTTCTTCTCGCCAACCCCAACTGACCAACCAAATCACACAAACAACGAACCCAACCAATCAAACAATCAAACAACCGACCGATCGAACGAACAAACAACCAATCGATGACACCGATCTAAATTATCGATCAACTCTTGTCAAATGTTCACTTCTCCTATCTTGTTAATCTTTTTTTTATCTCATATTTTTATCAACGTTTACTTTTTATTTTATAATCGTGAAGATGTAATTATTAGATTAACTATGACGAATCGGTGGTACTCATTATATTCATCATTTTCTTATTCGCGGCAATTTTTGTTTAGTAATTATTTCTTTGTCTTTTTTTTTTTTTCATCGTTGTCAACGACGACGCGACAAAGAAGTGGAAAATATTTATACGAAATAATGTTACTTTAATTATAATCGTATGATATACAGCAACAATAACAATGATAATTTGTTATTAGATTTTTCGTAAAAGTTCTCTATACCCCCCCCCCCTCGTCTCGTTTTTGTAATAATATACTTTTTTTTTCGATTTTATTTATTTATACTAACTGTGTTAGATTATAATTGCAAAAATGTTCTATAACTTAAATAAAATTAAAATTAAACAAAATTAATAATGAAATAAAGTGTTTTTTACTACTCGTCTCGTTTTTGTAATAATATACTTTTTGTTTTTTTTTTTTTCTTTTTTCTTTCGATTTTATTTATTTATACTAACTGCGTGAGATTATAATTGCAAAAATGTTCTATAACTTAAATAAAATTAAAATTTAAAAAAATTAATAATGAAATAAAGTGTTTTTTACTATTAGCATTTTTTGTTATAGTAGTTGTAACTCGTCACGCTTGTTAATACGGTAAAAGTAGGTCGATAATTCTGATAATAATTAACGACATAATTTGCATTAATTAATATATTAACAACTGCTTTTTCCTATCTTCTCTCGATATTTGATTTCTTTTCTTTTCTTTTCTTTTTTTTTTTGGAATAAATAATCATTCGTTAAATGGACAAGAACTTTTACGGTAATATCTAATAAATAAAAATTTCGCCAATCATTCCCATGATTTAATAAATACAAGTTTCGCGAGAGGTATATTTTGTCATTGAATAATCAGCCATTTTTTTTCTTTTTAATTTTTTTTAAAACTAAACGAATATTTAAAATTAATTTGTTGTTGTTGTGTTTTTTACCCTTTTGAGGTAGATGCGTGAAAGCCGACGTGATCTCGATACTCCTATAGCCCACGTCTTCTGAAACAAAGTTTTAAAAACCAATGTGATCAAAATAATTTTTATAATTATTATTATTTATTATATTATTATTAATATTAATAGAAATTTATCGTTTTTAGCAAGTGCCTCGAGGGTTATTGCTTAACTCGTGATATCTATGACGCGTTATTACTTTTATTCGATAAGAAGTTTTATCTAATACGTATAATCGCATCATCCGGAATATCCTAATGATATTGTCCCCCCCCCCTCCTCCTCCTACCCCTCCACCTCCTCCTCCTCTTCTCATCATTTTTTAATTTTTATCTATACGTATATGCGTATTTATATATAAATATACAAATTTTGTCCTATTTCTATAGAAAACATAAGATTTCTGTTTCTCTCTCTCTCTCTCTCTCTCTTTCTATTTTTGCTACTTAACGATTAGATAAAGCAATCAATTTTAAAAGACGCTACAACTTTTTGATTGAAGTAAATGTCACTAGAAGAAGAAGAAGAAGAGAAATAGAAAAAGAGAATCGTTTTATCTGCGATACGATATATATATATATATATATATATATATATACGATTGTATATATATATATATCTTATATACATGAAGGACGGAAATAAACGTTCTAAACGATCACCACCATATAGAAAGATCTCGCAACCGGCTTCGATTATGCAAACTTCCAACCAATCGACGTAATTATTAATCGAACATCTCTCGACGCTTTTTTTTTATATACAAGATTAGAACAAAAGAATAAAAAACAAAATACAAAAAAAAATTACAATTACTCTTCTTCTCTATTTTTTATTTCTAAGTTAACGAAATACAAACTTGAACATAATGACAATATCTTAATATCCAAGTATTATAAATAACTAATAATAAATATTTGCACAATACACGATTATCTAACAATAAGGTCACGCATACGCGTTTTTTCCATATGTTGCAATCGCGTGCTAATATATAAATCAAAATTCTAACAAGAAAATAAAGAATAATTAATAAATAAATAAGACAAAATAATATTAATAAGAACAGAGAGAGTGAGGAGATGAGATAATCATTCGAACTCATCGAACTATTTTAAAACGAAGGCCATCAACGGAATACAACGTGACTGAACCATCGACACTAACACACTATCATCACCACCACCATTTAATCATCATCACCAACAGCACAGTCATCGTAATAATGACCTTAATTAATATCTTAGCTAAGTTAATAAGCAATACCATAATCATTTTCCTAACATCACGTATTTAATTCGTTATATTATTTATTATCAATTAATTGTAACCAACACTAACATTATACTTAACATTTCGTACCCATATTTCGTTTTTTTTTTTTTATTATTCCTTTTTCCTTCTACCACTTATCATATAAATACATATATATATATTTAAAATGATAGAAAGAGAGAATAAATGTTGCGTGGTCGCGTGTTGGTTACGTGTCTCTAATAACCAAGGTGCGCGAGCTTATTTGCACGTAATCGCTTTTCTTCAAGATTATTTATAGAACAATGAATCCATCGGTTTGGTATTATGCCAATAAATAAATATCATTAATAATTCTTAACACTATAAACGTTTATTATCCTATTCTACATTTGTTCGTATCTTTAATTTTTATTAATTTTTATTATTTTTTGTTGTTGTACTTAAACATTTTGATTGTTTTGTTAATCTTTTAATTTTTCTCTCTCTCTCTTTTTATTTTTAATATTTTAAATATTCGTGTTTAATACAACATATGGTAAATATAGATAGATTTTGTTGGTTTTGTTATTAAATCATTGATAATAAAATTCGAATGATAATATTGGTTATATAGATTGAACAATTATTAATGAAATATGTGGCTGTCTTTTCTTTGCCAGACACTGGATAAGCCAACTTTAGCTCGAGATCAATGTTCTTCCTTTTTAATTGTATGTGTGTGTATATATATATATATGTGTATATGTGTCGTTTTTTTCATACATTCCCTTTTATTTATAATTCCTACTTACGCTATCTTTTTCTTTGAGTAATCATCTTTTATCAAAAGATATTAATAAATTATGTTTATCTAACCGTCAACATTCTCCGATTTGATAAGCTGAATTTTTTTTTACTCCATCACGTATCGATGCTTCCCTTTTTATTTTTTTTTTTTTTTTATTTCGTTTTTTTCGTCACACGTTTCGTACACACATTCTTCGCATACAAGGAGGATCGTATTATTTTTAGCTAATAACAAGTAATATTGTTCTATAAATTAATCAATGTTTATAAAACGTATCGAAAAGTTCGATCGAAACTAAAAGAAAAACAAAAAGTACACCGAAAAAATTCATTTAAAAATACGGATTTCTGATAAAAAGAAAGACAAGTTTTGTTTTTTCTTTGTTTGTTTCTTTATATCCAATCACATCCAAATACAATTCGACGAGAATAAAAATAGATACCATGACAAATATTTATAATGAAATCATTTAAAAAAAAAAAAAATAATATATCAACACGTCATCTAAAATTAACCGAGAAGACATTTATTTCTTACGTCAACGTTCCTCTTAATACGAGAAGAAAAAAAAAGAAATAAAAAATAAAAATAAAATTTACATGGATCTCGAGAAAAGAAAGAGAGAGAGAGAAGACAAATTTTATCCAATAATCTTTATCGAAGTATTCAGTTTGATAAGTAACAAAACAAAAATAAAAAAAAAGATATATTAAATTAAACCATATATATACAAAAAGATATATTAAATTAAACCATATATATATACAAAGACATATTAAATTAAACCTTATATATATAAGTACCTTATATATATAGTAATTATAT